TCTGTTAAAAATGAAAATAAGCAGAATCACTTAGGGGAAGTGAGTTCATCTTTTCAATCTGCTCCCTGTAATAGGCAGTCTATGGAATAATCAGGTTTATCTAATGACACCCAAACTTCCAGGAGACTCTCAATGTAGCAGCAAATGATGTCTACCAAGTGGCTTGTCTTGAAGCTTCTAGCTGAGACATCATTTTGCCAAAAAAACTCCTTATGGTCAAAGTCATACACAGAAACACGAAGAGACAGTGTACTCTCAAGCCTCTAAGAGTGAAATAAAATGTGCAAAGAAAAGAGGGAATGATGGGAAAGGGGTCAGAGAAGCTAGTATCCCCCTTCTTCATCATATGTTTATCCTACACCAGCTCTTCTTCTGTACCCAGAGGAAGACCTGCTCTGTCTCAGTGACCCCACCTCCCTTCACACAAAGTATTTCATCATGTTTTCTTTGTTTCCTTCTTTGGCAGTTCCATGGAGACTTGATTTTCCATGCTGCCTTACAAAGGTTTTCTGTTTTCCTTCTCAGAAGCCACACATTACAAGACTTCAAGGTGGTACGTGTCCCCCCTATTTTTCCTTGCTCCTCCCAAATCTGTTCTCCATCTCCTATAAACAAACCCTCAGCCATTTTGTAGCCAAAATGAGGTATTATTCTATGCCTCTGAGTCACTCTGGAAAAGATGGTAAAGAAACAGACTCCTGAGTGGTATGAGCAAAGACCAGGCACCATCCAGGAAGGGGTCATGGTAGCTTCTGAGGCACCAGTGAGGTTAATGTATTAGATGTGAAAAGACTCTGCAAGAATTTCCTGTTCTGGGTACTATGAAGCTGGTAAAGTGGAAAGGGATAAGATGTGGGCCATGAGAAGACTTCGGGAACCAGGATAAGAAGGAATACATAGATTATGTTCAGTGTGCAGAGTACAAATAAACTGAGACAGTAAAGCTGTGGCTCAAACATAGTATCCTGACAGTGCTGTCTATTTCTGAGCAAGAAAGAAAAGCAAGAGAGGAAGATCTAAAGAGGGCAAGGAAGTCTCCACAGAAGAAAGATTTAACATAAAATCTTAGAGAGTAATATGTCATAAAGACCTTTGGTATGAAAGGTTTTGTGGAAGAAAGAACATGGGTGTGAACAAAAGTACAAGAAAAACCATGTTGTATAAATAGAAATAATTCAGTTTTATGGGAAATGGGAACAAAAGATGGGGGATTGTATTTTTTCTTTTTCTTTCTTTGTCTCTTTCTCTTTCCTTTTTTAATTATTTCCTTCCTTTCCTTCTCTCTGTCATGAAATGTCAACCAACAGATTGTTTACATTCTTAGAACAGTGCTCCAGAAAGAATAACTTGATCTAGGGCAAAATATATTGATCAGGGTATAGTTGGAGGCAGAAAATTGAATCGGAGGCAGTAGATTGCACGATGACCCACATCTTTGTGCTTTTTATTGCCTGGACTTTGTTCTCTGTACAACTCTTTCAGGAAGACTGCAGGACCAAGCCTATCCACATTCAGATTCTAACTAGCAGGACGAAGGAAAAGAAAGGTCCCTGCCTCCAGTTCAAACACTTTTTGTTGTTAAAAATTTACTTAATTGGCCATACTTTACTGGATTTAAGGAGAATTAAAAAAGTTTGCAATACTATGCTAGTGGTGCTGAACCTGTATAGGTCTATTTAATTAAAAGAGAAGAGTAGAATGGATGCCTTAGAACCACCATGGCCACATAAGGTATGCAGCCCATGAGAAGGAATAAAGTGTGAGAGGATTTACATAAACTAGGAGATGGTGATTTGCACATGAAAGATGGCAGACATAAAGAGAAGTCAGAATAATTTTCTGATTTCTGACTGAGGCAGTTATACATGGTGCTACTGTTTTAGGGGGCTTACTTGGGAGTTTCAATGTTGCTGGAGAGGCAGCAAAAAGAGGTAGAAGTAAGATCACCCTGCGTTAATTCCTTGGGACATAATGTAATGCTCTGAGAAATCTGAAGGGCAAGAAGTGTCTAATGACACCACCCCTGACTATTATAAAATGAAATGGTGAACAGCTCAGCTGATTTGATTTCAGAATAAAGAGTTGTTTTACTTTCTCACATATTCCTGTATGTGTGTAAATGTGTGAGGAAGCCAACTCACATATTCTCATTCAATATGTTAAACTGGAATCATTCCCAGAGAGCCTCCTGGATCAATTTTAAAAAGTAGTGAGTGCCAATATACTTCTGATTCATAGCATTGAAATTTACTTTTATTCCCTTGGCCATATTCTCCCATAACCTGGAGATTCTCTCTCTCTCAGTTTATTTAGAATATAATTGCTAAATGTGCATTTAAATAATAAAGAAATTATATACTAATTATAGAAGTACTAATATACTAATGATAGAAATGTTGTACTAATTACATAAATGATTATAACAGGAACAGTAATCTTTGTTTTTTGAGTATTTACTATAGCCGGACTTTGTTCCATGTGTGTGTGCATGTGTATGTGTATGTGTTATTTAATATATTGTTTAATGTGACTCATTTAATCTTAAAAATAACTCAGTGACAATGTACCATTACTATCCTTATTTAAAAGAAATTTATTTCAGATATAATTTAATATCTGATTGGTGCTTTGTACTATGATAAGACATAAAATTAAATACTTAGAGATATATATCTGAATTATATTTTCTTTTTTATCTCTTCAAAGTATTAAGACATATTTACTTTATATTTCCACTTTGCTGATATAATTACTTGAGTCAAAGCATATGTACCACCAGGTTAGGTAATATCTATTGTCCATTTACTGTACCCATATTCCCTATCAGCTTTTTAAAAGAGAGTAGTGATTTTTTTCTATTCATGTTTAAGGGAATTCACTGTCTGATTATTGCCCCTTCCATGAAATTTCATTGTAGTTAGCTGAATTATTAATAACAATGAGATATTTTGAATAATTTGTATATCAAGCAAATCTGATACTCAATATTTTATGATAGAGCTTATAAATATCATGTCAAGTGAGTCACTGATATTATAAGTTTATAAGAAAGTTTTAAAAATAAAAATAGTAGTGTTATATAGTAGAAAATATACATATTTTCCATGGAATTAATATTTCCAGGGTTTTCATATCAAACACTTTTTAAAATAAATCTTTTTTAGAAATGATATCGCGTTTTTATCTTTCTTTGCCTCTTGGTCAAAATTTTAAAGACCAATTATAGGAGCACACAAACAATTTTCTTATAAATATGTAGTCTTAACTATACTATGTTAAGTATATTTATATATATTATATATATTCAATATATTATAATATATAACATATAATAATATATTAAGATTAGTAATTGGCATCTACTTAAATCTAAATAGTCTATAAATCTAATTTATATAACAAAAGATCTAATAGAAAAGGAAAAAAGTATTATGAGTCAAGTCAAAATGCATGGATACATACTGTATTTTGAGAATCTTGATAAATGCAAAATGATGAAAATTATTTAAGTGTAGTACATTCACTGAATAAAGAATACAAAGTATTTCTATTTCCTATAAGGAAAGACTGACACATGTGGCTTTTATAATTTAAAATATCTAAAAATTATAACATTTTCTATTTAGCTTCCTAGCATTTAGAAGATACAGGGATATAAACTACATGCTGCATCTCTTTTCTGGCATTTAGTATTAGTAAACCAGGAAAATTTGATCCTAAATGGATCAAATCCTAAATGGACCTTGAGTAAGAGTTGAATATATGTGAAAGACCGTGTGATATGTAACATGTGTTTACTCCATTTTTTAGCTTTGAGTAAAGAGATTCACCACTAGAGTATTCCTCTTTGGATTCAAGAACAGCTTTCATTCAAGACCTTGGAAGTCACAGACATTTCCCCCACCCACCCAATCTTTCCAGTTTCATTGGAGAATATTCAGGTGACTGAATGACCAGTTAAGATAAGTTTTACAATAAATGGTTGCAAAAATTTTAGGTGCCTCATTTTAGGCAACTCATATTTCCCCTACCTCCTAAAGTTAGGTGATAGAAATAAGGTAATAAATATATTAAGGAATATATAATGGAGTGCATCCAATATCTGAAACAAAAATAATAAATATACTTGTGCAGACAAAACAAGCTGTCTAAAAACATAAATTTTAAGTGATGCCTCATTGAAGACCTTTCATATCAGAGATCATAGAAATGTAAGTCAATGATTTCCTTAATAAGAATCTGGGAAGCTACAATGGTCCAGGGACTCTATTAACCAATAGGAATTTAGTATAAATAGACACTGTCCATTCTTAACACTAAAATGAAGTATTTTTTTTGATTCAGAATGCCTACATTTAAGTAAGCTATTAATGGAAAAAGCAAAACCAGAAGGACAAAATTATTCTATGCAGTGGGAAAAAGTCAACAACTTTGGATATTGATATATTGCATATGAGTTGCAGTAATATTCACTGATTTTAGAGACTAAATTATAATCAGCCTGTTCTCAAGAAACACCATTATCTTCAATCTGAATCTATGTTTACACCAAATTTTACTGAGCTGCAGGTCAAACCAGTAGAAACAGCAAGAACCATGTACACATGCATACATCTGCAAACGCCATTCATATGCTAACCCTTTGAAAGTTTTAAAATGACAGCAAAACAGTGTTAGCATTTCAGGGAATTAAATATATAATTAAGTTTATTCTTATATAAATAAAGTATATACAAGTTATGTTTATTTCATAATGAATAAAATAATTAACTTGTTCAGCAAATAAATGCCCATCATGTAAAACATGCCCAATTAAAAAACTATCTGAGAGTCCATTGGCTTTACTTGGAAAATATAGCAAAAAGGAATATGCTTATCTTATTATACAGTTAAATGCAAAGGAGGTTGAGATTTATGCTAATTTTTCTTTCTTTTCACTCTATCTCTTATTTATTTATATTTGTTGTTTATTTATTTATTTTAGGTAAAGCAAGGATTTCATGAGGGGATATGAGAATAACATTTCCAGCAGTGACTTCATTCTTTTGGGACTCTTCTCTTCTTCCCAAACAAGTCTGATTTTCCTCTCCTTTATAGTCATCATTTTTATTATAACTATAACAGAAAATACAATGATGATTATCCTTATCCACAGGGAATCAAGACTCCATACTCCAATGTATTTCCTGCTCAGTCATCTCTCTTTTATGGATATCTTGCATACTAGCAACATTGTTCCCAAAATGATCACTGACTTTCTGTCAGGCAGCAAAACTATTTCATTTGCAGCCTGTGGCTTCCAGATATTTCTATCCCTTACCCTCTTGGGCGGTGAGTGCCTTCTCCTGGCAGCAATGTCTTACGATCGCTATGTAGCCATCTGTCACCCACTGCGCTACCCCATTCTTATGAATGACTGTGTCAGCGTTCTCATGGCTGGAGGGGCCTGGTTTATTGGGATAATCAACTCCATAGTTCACACAGCTTACACACTTCACTTTCCCTTTTGTGGCTCAAGAGCCATTGACCACTTTTTCTGTGAAGTCCCCGCCATGTTGGTGTTGTCCTGTGTGGACACAACACTCTATGAACGAGTAGCTTATGCAAGTGGCATCATTTTCCTGCTTGTCCCTTTCTCTCTAATCTTTGCATCTTATGTCCAAATTCTCCTTACCGTCCTCCAAATGAAATCAAAAGAGGTAAGGAAAAAGTCATTTTCTACCTGTTTCTTCCACATGATTGTGGTCATAATGTACTATGGGCCTTTTATTTTCACATACATGAGACCTAAAAAGTACCACACTCCAGGCCAGGATAAATCCCTGGCAATTTTCTATACCATCCTCACACCTACTTTTAACCCAATTATCTACAGCATTAGAAATAAAGATGTTTTAGAGGCAATGAAAAATATTCTCAGAAGTAATTTTCTCCATAAAATGTTATAGGGAAAATGTTTGAAGTATATGTGGTTGTCTATTTCCATACTAAATATTTAGAGGATATCTGTTATTCAAATCTCTAGAAAGCTTTTATCTCTTCAGGTGTGCAAAGATGGATATTTCTGAAACTTTGATAATGGTAAAGTTATATATGTCACAGATATTTGTTTTATATATGCATATTTATATATATATGACATATATATGTCACAGATATTTGTTTTATAAATACATATATCTAAAACTGTATCTGTCTCTCTATGTTGCCAATTATCATCACCAAAGCACCAATTATAGAAAGTCAATGATGACTAAAGTCTAGTTTTATTCTTCCATTAAAATTATACAAATTTGTAAAAATTGCTTTTTATGATACAATCATATTATTTATGGATATATATATACACATATATAATGTATGTGAGAGAGAAATCCATATTATATAAAACTATAAAATATTTCAAACTTTATAGTAAGTTACAAGAAGTTTATAAAAATTCATAAGTTAAAAGGGTGCAAGTATGTAAAATATGGAAACTTAAAATTATGAGATAAATAAGTCCTGGGGATTTAATGAACAACATGGTGATTGCAGTTAAAAATGCCATATTTTATATTTCAAAGGTACTAAGAGAATAGCTTTTTAAAAGATCTCATCACAAAAAATATTGTACAATTTTCCAAAACACACACTCTACAAAGACCAAATAGTGGGTAGAAAATTTGACTAGACCTATAATTAGTAAGGACCTTAAATTAGTAATAAAGATTTCCCAATGAAGAAAATATGTAAACCAGAATATGTCACTGGTTAATTTTAGCAATCATATATAGTAAAGTTAATATCAGTCATTTTTCCATACCTTCCCAAAAACCAGAGGAAGAGGTGTCACTCTCTATCTCATTCTATGAGGTCAGAATTACACTGAAACTAAATTCAGAAAAAGATTCTATAAGAAAGGACATTGATATGAATAAAAGCCTTTAGACAGCATTCTTAACTAAATAACAGCAAAAATAATCATCAGTATGTCAAAAGGATTACACACTATCACCTAGTTGGATTTAATCATAAAATACCAGAAATATTCACCATATGAAAATAAACATACATAATGTATCATCTTACTTGAACAAGAGGGAGAAAAAGCCACATGATACTGAAAATTCATGCAGAAAAAAAGGGGTTTGACAAGATTTAACATCCTTCAATGATGAAATAATTCAGAAACCTGGACTAGAAAAAGAAAATCCTCAGCATATAAAAGATTGACATGAAAGATGCATAGTTAATCTTGTACTTAACTGTGAAAAATTGAAAGCTTTCCCCCTAAATATGGGCTTCCCTAATAGCTCAGTTGCTAAAGAATCTGCCTGCAATGTAGGAGACCCGAGTTCAATTCCTGGGTTGGGAAGATCCCCAGAAGAAGGGAATGCCAACCCATTCCAGTACTCTTGCCTGGAGAATTCCAAGAAGAGTCAGACACGACTATGCAACTAACTTTCCTTTTCCCCTAAGTACAGAAAGAAATCAAAGATGCCCACTTCCACCAATTCTGTTCAACACAGTGTTGAGGGTTCTGGCTAGATCAATTAGGCTAAAGAATAGAAAGGTATTCATGTTGAAATAAAATAAATAAAACAATCTGGTTATTGATGACATTATATTATAATAACCATTCTTAAAGAACACACACACACACAATTAGAGCTAAGAAATAGGGTCAGCAAAGCTGTAAGATACAAAATAAACAATGAAAGTTAGTTGCGTTCTTTACCCTAGCAATAAATATTTTAAAAGAAAATTTAGAAAACAATTCCATTTATCATAACATAAAAAAATACTTTGGAATATCCCAAGAATATGGACACTTATACAGTGAAATCTATCAAATATTGCTGAAATAAATTAAAGAAAGTAAAAGGAAGTATTTTATACTCCACGTTCATGGATTAGGGTAATAATATTCTTATAGTAATAAGAATATCCAGAAGTATCTACAGAGTCAATGAATTCCTTATCAAAATTCCCATGACTTTTTCTGCAAAATAATAATATTCTAAAGTTAATGTTGACTCTCAATGGAATTTAATCTTAAAATAGGAAAACAATTTTTTAAAAATTGGAAAACTCATTCTTTCTTATTTCAAAAATTATCTACCTATATATATATAACTAGTTATATATATAAAACTAATTAAAGTAGCTTACATGCAAAGAGACAAATAAATGGATTAAACAGAACAGGGAAGGTATAACGGAATAACTCCTCCTATGGAGGATCATATGAATTTCAGCAAGGCTGCCAAGACTATTCGGTAAGAAAAGGACATTATTTTCAATGAATCATGATAAGACTGAATTTTGGCATGCAAAAGAGTAATGCGGAACCGTCACCAAAACAACATTCAAAAATTAACTCAAAACTGACTAAAAGCATTAAATAAGCACTAAACCTAGACCATTCAAGTATGACCTATTTCAAATCCCTAATGATTATACAGTAGAAGTGAGAAATAGTTTTGTTTTTGTTTTTTTATTAGTTGGAGGCTAATTACTTTACAATATTGTAGTGGTTTTTACCATACATTGACGTGAATCAGCCATGGATTTACATGTGTTCCCCATCCTGTACCCCCCTCCCACTTCCTGCCCATCCCATCTCTCTGGGTTTTCCCAGTGCAACAGCCCTGAGCACTTGTCTCATGCATCCAACCTGGACTGGCAATCTGTTTTACACTTGATAATATACATGTTTCAATGCTACTCTCTCAAATAGTTTTAAGGCACTAGATCTGATAGAAAGAGTACCCGAAGACCTGTGGACGGAGGTTCGTCACATTGTACAGGAGACAGGGAGCAAGACCATCCCCAAGGGGGCGAAAAAAAAATTTGCAAAAAAGCAAAATGGCTGTCTGAGGAGGCTTTACAAATAGCTGTGAAAGAAGAGAAATAAAAGCAAAGGATAAAAGGAAAGATATACCCATTTGAATGCAGAGTTTCAAAGAAAAGCAAGGAGAGATAAGAAAGCCTTCTTCGGTGATCAGTGCAAAGATATAGAGGAAAAAAACAGAATGGGAAAGACTAGAGATCTCTTCAAGAAAATCAGAGATACCAAGGGAACATTTCATGCAAAGGTGGTCTCAATCAAACTCAGAAATTGTATGGACCTAATAGAAGCAGAAGATATTAAAGAGGTGGCAAGAATACACAGAAGAACTATACAAAAATGATCTTCATGACCCAGATAATCACGATGATAAGATCACTCACTTAGAGAGCCAGACATCCTGGAATGTGAAGTCAAGTGGGCCTCAGGAAGCATCACTGTGAACAAAGCTAGGGGACATGATAGAATTCCAGTTGAGCTATCTCAAATCTTAAAAGATGATGCTGTGAAAGTGCTACACTCAGTATGCCAGCAAATTTGGAAAACTCATCAGTGGCCACAGGACAGGAAAAGGTCAGTTTTCATTCCAATCCCTAAGAAAGGCAATGCCAAAGAATGCTCAAACTACCACACAATTACACTCATCTCACACGCTAGTAAAGTAATGCTCAAAATTCTCCAAGATAGGCTTCAACAATACATGAACTGTGAAATTCCAGATGTTCAAACTGGATTTAGAAAAGGCAGAGGAACCAGATATCAAATTGCCAACATCTGTTGGATCATTGAAAAAGCAAGGGAGTTCCAGAAAGACATCTATTTCTGCTTTATTTACTGTGCCAAAGCCTTTGATTGTGTGAATCACAATAAACTGTGGGAAATTCTGAAAAAGATGGGAATATCAGACCACCTGATCTGCCTTTTGAGAAATATGTATGCAGGTCAGGAAGCAACAGTTAGAACTAGACATGGAACAATAGAATGGTTCCAAATAGGAAAAGGGCTAAGTCAAGGCTGTATATTGTCACCTTGCTTTTTTAACTTACATGCAGAGTACATCATGAGAAACGATGAGATGAATGAAGCTTAAGTTGGAATCAAGATTTCCAGGAGAAACATCAATAACCTCAGATATGCAGGTGACACCACCCTTATGGAAGAAACTGAAGAAGAACTAAAGAGCCTCTTGATGAAAGTGAAAGAGGACAGTGAAAAAATTGGCTTAAAGTTCAACATTCTAAGACATTAAGACTAAGATCATGGCATCCGGTCACATCACTTCATGGCAAATAGATGGAGAAACAGTGGAAACAGTGGCCTAGATCTTGGGGGGCTTCAAAATCACTGCAGATGGTGACTGTAGCCATTAAATTAAAAGAAAGTTACCTAGACAACATATTAAAAAGCAGAGACATCACTTTGCCAACAAAGGTCCATCTAGTCAAGGCTATGGCTTTTCCAGTAGCCATGTATGGATGTGAGAGATGGACTATAAAGCAAGCTGAGCACTGAAGAATTGATGCTTTTGAACTATGGTGTTAGGAAAGACTCTTTTTTTAAAAAATTTTATTTTACAATATTGTATTGGTTTTGCCATACATTGACTTGAATCCGCCATGAGTGTACATGTATTCCCCATCCTGAACCCCCCTCCCACCTCCCTCCCCTTCCCACCCTCTGGGTCATTGCAGTGCACCAGCCCTGAGAACCTTGTATCATGCATCAAAACTGGACTGGCGATTCCTTTCACATATGATATTTTACATGTTTCAATGTCATTCTCCCATATCATCCCATCCACGCCCTCTCCCACAGAGTCCAAAAGACTGTTAAATACATCTGTGTCTCTTTTGCTGTCTCACATACAGGGTTATCATTATCATCTTTCTAAATCCCATATATATGTGTCAGTATACTGTATTGGTGTTTTTCTTTCTGGCTTACTTTACTCTGTATAATAGGCTCCAGTTCCATCCACCTCATTAGAACTGATTCAAATGAATTCTTTTTAATGGCTGAGTAATACTCCATTGTGTATATGTACCATGGCTTTCTTATCCTTTCATCTGCTGATGGACATATAGGTTGCTTCCATGTCCTGGCTATTATAAACAG